GCATCAATCACTGAAGGGCGAGGTTACAACAACGGTCAGTGAGTCTCATGACCTTTGTCTTCCGCGGTCCTATTCAACACTTAACATAAGTGCTAGTGTAATCCTTCAGTCAAAGACCAACTGAATCGGGAATACACTACAGTCTTTTTCCAAGTGGGGTCTCACTGCCAGTCTAGACTATGAACGAATGGTTTAGTCGTATAAGGAACCGATAGGTGATCTTTCCGTTCGAAACTCTTCGAACCACACTATCTCAATATAAGACATGGAGTATGTATTGCATAAATAAATAAACTGCAAACATATGTACTTTGACCGAAACATGATTGCCAGATCAAAATGGAATTGATAGAAACTGCAAAACACAGCTTTTACAGCATACCTCTAACAAGAAGGATCCACCTCGATACCTGCCTGAGTAATCACATGACCCAGAAAGGATACTCGCTGGAGCCAGAACTCGCATTTGGAGAATTTTGCAAACAACTTTTCTCGTCTGAGGGTTTCGAGAACCACCCTCAGATGCTCCTCGTGCTCCTTCTGGCTCTTCGAGTAGATAAGAATATTGTCAATAAAGACAATGAACTGATCGAGGTAAGGATGGAAAATACGGTTCATGAGGTCCATAAAAACAGCTGGCACATTGCTGAGACCGAATGGCATGACGACGAACTCGTAATGGCCGTAATGAGTCCTGAAAGCGGTCGTAGCGATATCTGACTATTTAATCTTCAGCTGGTGGTAGCCTGATCGTAAATCAAACTTTGAGAACACACAGGCTCCCCTCAACTGATCAAACAAGTCATCGATCCTGGGCAGCGGATACTTATTCTTGATCGTCAATCGGTTAAGATCCCGGTAGTCGATACACATGCGCATGGATCCGTCCTTCTTCTTAACAAAGAGAACGGGTGCTCCCCAAGGTGACACGCTCGGTCAGATGAAACCGAGTCGTAACAGCTCCTGAATCTGGGTCTTAAGCTCCTGTAACTCCTTAGGCGCCATACGATAAGGGGCTTTAGATACTGGACCGGCCCCTGGAATGAGATCGATAGAGGACTCCACCTGCCGATTAGGCGGTCCTCCTGGAAGCTCGTCTGGGAACACGTCCACAAACTCATGAACGATTGGAACATCATGAGGTGAGCATGCTTTCTGAGAATCTTCGACAAGGCTCACCAGATAACCCTGGCAGTTGCCTCGTCGCAGTAGCTTAGTGGCTTTTGCCATCGAAACAACATGAGGCAATGAACGATTCCTGGAGCCAAAGAAAGTGATCGACTCGTCTCCCGGAAGATAGAGAGTGATCTCCCGGTCATGACATCTGATGTCTGCATGATAGAAAGATAGCCAATCCATTCCGAGAATAAGGTCGAAGTTCTTCATCTCAAGAACAAACGCGTCGGTAGACAATACTCGGCCACCGATGGAAAGGCTAAGATCTGAGGCTTTAGCTGAGGTCACTATCTTTCGTTCCGAGGCTAAAATCACCTCGAGAGGATCGACAGCGGTAACGGCGTGAACTCCGATGGCATCAAGACATCGTCGTGAAATGAATGAATGCGTTGCTCCAGTATCGAACAAAGCGAAAACAGGAATATCATTAAGCACAACCATCCCTGACATAGTACCTGGCTGCTGTGCTGCCTCGGCCTGATCAACTGCATAAACCCTGGCCTGCTGTCTGCCCCTCTGCTGCTGCTGCTGAGGTGGCCTCTGTGCCTGCTGACGTGGCTGCTGCTGCTGTGGTGGCTGCTGAGGCTGCTGGGGCTGCTGCTGAAGTCTTCTCGGACAGCGACTCGCAAAGTGTCCAGGCTCGTGGCAGTAGTAGCAGATGTCCTGACCCATATGGCACTCTCCCTGATAAAGTCGTCCGCAAGTCGGGCATGTGGAACCGGCTGCTGTCTCTGTCGGGTCCTCCGGTCAGTCTGTGCGCCCTTCCCTTTCCTCTTCTTCTCCTTCGCCGGCTGAACAGCTGGTAGGGCCGGTGGAGCTGCAAATGACTGAACTGGGGCGGATGGCTGGGCACGATCACGAACTGCCTCCCTCCTAATGCTAGCATCCACCTCCTGGGTGATAGAAACTGCACGAGCGTAGGTCTGAGTCTCGTGTCCCACGATGTTATGACGGACTGCTGGGTAAAGCCCATCGATGAACCGCTGCGCTCTCTGAGCCTCCGTGCAAACCGAGTCCGGTACGAAAGCTGCAAGTCTAGTGAACTCTCGCTCGTACTCATCAACCGTACGAGTGCCCTGCTGGAGCGCTAAGAACTGACGCTCTATCTCTGCCCGATAATAGGAGGGGTAGTATTTTTCGCGGACTAGCTCCTTGAGCATGTCCCATGTACAACCCGCTTTTTCACCGGGATGCATGCTCCAGTAGGCATTCAACCAGAGCCTAGCATCACCAGTGAGCTGAAGCTGAGCGCAAACTACACGATATCTATCGAGGCAGTCCATGACCTCAAAGTTAAACTCCAAGCCCTGAATCCGTTCATCTACGATGCGGGGATCTCCCTGTCCTGAGAACTTTTCAGCGTGGTAGTCGTGGAACTGTGCGACTACAGTAGCCTGAGTAGGAGCCTGATGATTGGGTTCCCTACGTGGCGGCATCTGAACATTGAGAAAGTTTAACATTATTGAATACGTAATAACATTCTGACTGATTACTAAGGCACACAAATCTATTGACAAGTTTCCAAAAGTGGCCAATAAATACTGATGTGAATCCTGAGGAACTCTAGAGTCATATCGAAAGATACTAAAGTCTAGAGTCATATCTGATAGTCCTGAATTATAAAGTCACATCCGAACTCTAAAGTCTGAACCTGATTCGAGCATCTTAACTAAGGTCCTGATCCATAATTCTGAGCATAGACAAAGTAATATGTTTATAACTGAAAACATAAATCAGCACTTACCTGTCGTCGGCGGGGCGTGAGCATGACGATTCATGTTTTTCTGAAAAATTTCTGACTGAAAAACTTTTTCAGAGACGCAGAAACGTGCTCTGATACCAATTGTAACACCCCGCCTTATCGTAAAATCAGAGCGCGAAAATTTCGCAAAGTTATAAAACCTTTTACTTTGCGAAAACTGATTCGGGATGCTACCTTAAAATCGTGACTTAATTTGGAAAAAACCGTTACTTAATTTTTAATAAAATCATAATGTCACTGAAAGCATAAAATTTTCTAAAAGTCCGTCAAAATATAAGTTCGTCAAAAGTCATCATCAGCGGAAACGTAAATCATCATATTATATATACAATCAAAATATGAAAGTCCTGAAGCCTTCGTCATCTCACGCTCCCTGCCCGACATCCTGACCTGAAAAACATGATAACAATGAGAAATGAGCACTATGGCACTGTGCTCCGTGGAAACTCATACTAATGTAAACATTGAAAATAATAACAACATCATGATATCGGCATATACATAACCTCAACATGAAACCGATAATAACATGAACATGAATCTGATATCGTCACGCAACGTGACCCTGACCGTTACCTCATCTGCCGGCAAAAACTAATGTCGGACACCATGTGCACACTCTAGTGGGCAGACTAGGGCCAGTAGAACTCAGAATGGACCGGCGACCATTCCGAGCGGATACCTCACATGAAATACATACCTCAAACAAGGTACCGTAATTATAATCAATGTAGTACTTAGTCTGAGTCCCCACCTGAACTGCTGAAACTGAACGGTAGTGCTAATGCCTGATCAAACTGAAAATAATATAAACAATTACTAATGACTATGCTCAGACTGTTAACTTAACTGATTAATTTCGTTAAGATGCTCTACTGAACCTGACATGATATTTAGACTTAACCGGAATAACCGGAACTGAACTGACATGAACTGATCGGACATAAACTTGCTGAACTGAAATTATCCCGGAAATTTAACTGAAAATACCTTTAAAATCATGAACCGGGCTGAAACCTTAACATAAGAACCGAACCGATTTAAAAATGGAACTGAACCGGTCCAGCCGGTTCGAACCGGTCTGGTCCAGACTGCCGGTCGACTGAACCGGAAGTCGGCATCGGCTCGGCCAGCAGCCTGCCGCGTGCTGCACACAGTGCGCAAGGGCGCTGCTGGCTTGCTGCGGGCGCTGGACAGTCGTCCCAGGCAAGACTGGGCGTGCTGGGTACGTGCGGCGTGCCGCTGGGGCTAACTGGTGGACTGCTCGCAGCACTGCGCACAGTCACGCGTGCGGGCGCACGCT